ACTGCACTGCAGTGGACGTGGTTCTTCAACCATTGTCGACACACAGAACGTGTGCATTCCCTCCATTCTCCATGCTGGCAAGAGTACTCTGCCAAACACAAATACACAAAGCTTCATTCCTCCTCATAGCACCTCTCTGGCAGGGTCAAGTATGGTTCCCGGACCTATTGGAGATGTCTCAAGATCACCCACTTCTTCTCCCATCCTTCTGTCTACTTCTGACGGGACAGAGGGGAGAATTTCATCCCCTCATCCTGGAACCGAAGCTTGTTCTAGTGGCCTGGACGATTTCCGGGGATCCTGGTCGGTGCTGTGCCTATCGCAAGCGGCTAAAGACCTTTTATGGAACTCTTGGACCCCTGGTACCAGGAAATGCTACATCTCAGCATGGTCCTCTTGCAGTCATTGGTGTCTAGAGAGGGATTCCGACCCCTTAATTGCACCTATCCCTATCATCTTGAACTATTTATCTCAGCTTTTTTCCCAAGGTCGATCTATCATTCCCTCAATGTAGTGCGTTCATCCATTTCTGCGGCACATGTTCCCATACAAGGTGTTCCAGTAGGTCAAGATCCTCTGGTACGTCATCTGTTGTGGGGAGCTAAGTTATATAGACCTCCAGCTCCTAAGTATTCTCATCTCTGGGACATAGAAGTGGTGTTGCGTTTCCTTAGAGATTGCCCAGATAATTCCGGTCTATCTCTTAGACAATTATCGGCGAAATGTACCCTTTTATTACTGACATCATGCGTTGCACAGATTGGACATGTGAAAATACTTTTAGAGTATTCTACTTTCGCCAAGTTTCTCATGCTTCTTTTGCTCTTCTTAACCATCAATGTTAAAACTGCAAATATGAAGCCTCCTGTCATGTGGTAAAATTGTAGATTATGCTAATAAAGCTTATCTGTTCTAAAGCATGCCCGATGACTGAGCATATTCTTAATGTTCTGTATTGTAGGAAATTAATGATGCTTATGCTAGCAGAGCACATTCACACATATACCCCCGAGATTCCTGTGAGTTTTATTGTGTAGGAGCTTTGTAATACATCCATTAGAACTGTGAATGTAAGAAAGAAAATTGGTTTGGCAAAACTGGTTTATTTAAATCAGAATTTAGTTTTTCTGATGCGAAATTAGTTTGTATGGAATTTCCGTTGACAAATTACATCCATACAAATTATTCAGGAATATGATTCAGATGAACATATTCATGTCACTTGGTTCGCAGATGAAATGAGAAGAAGTAACCAAGAGATGAAAAAAGAGGAGAAGCAGTAAAAAAATATCCATATTTTTGTATTTATTCAGTGCTTAAAATTTCAAACCCCAAACCATTCACCTCATCAATGCATGTGAGTGTGCACAATTGTGACATTTGAAGAATCAAAGGGCAGAACATTTAAATTTGAAGTTTTGGTCAAATGATGGACTCATGGTGAGGAACAAAAACAGGATCTTGAGAAAAGACACTACAACGAATGTGACAATATCATTAGATTTCTTTTCATTCTCCCATTTATTCTTTGATCTACTCCAAAACTGATTGCCCAGACATTTCTCTTTTTCTTACATTTTTTAAAATTGGTTTTTATTTCACCACAATTCCATGTTTTATAAATACACCCCATAATGGTGGTAGTTATGCAACAATGATTCAAGTTGCTGATTTTTTATATTTCTGTTTAATTGCATAAATAATGCATATTTCTAAATGTCTTGGATCAGAGAACTAATGAATCAATTATTTTTAATTATAGAGTCCCTGATTGTTTCAGATATATAATTGGTAGTAATCACAAATCAATTAAATTGTGATAATGATTATGTTTATTATATTAGGTAGATGCCATTTCTATAATGCATGTTGATGTGTTTTAAAGAGATTTGAGACCATTAGATCTCGTATTTATATACTCATCCTGTAAAACAGTCATACATAATTTCTGAAATCTCATTTTAATGAGCAGATTAGTAAGTGGCATGCTCCCTTAACCTTTAGACTTTCATAATGTAAAAGGACAATCTAAGCCCTAGAAGCACTGCATTTTATCTTAGTGGTTATGCTGCTAGGCACGTGTCCCTTAAAAATGTACTTTTTCAATTTCCTTATATTTTCTATTATTTTCAAGCTCCACTCCCTTCCCAATAACACCAAAGCTTTCGAAGGATCTAGGTGGTCCAAATGTTTAACATCTTTTTGAAACTTCAGGAAGCCCTACAATTTTCCAGGACAGGTTGGCGAAGTTTGAGTTATACCTTGGCATTTAAAAGGCATTTAACTGATGGAGCACAACATTCAGATGTATTTACAATCCTCTCCACACAATAGACAACTTCAATTAAATTGTTATCATTTTTAAAATTTATTCTACTGTTTTTTTTTTCATGGTGGCTGTAAACACTGCCTTTTAAATTAGAAAAGGAACGTAAAACAAGGATTAGTTAGATTAAAAACAAAAGAAGGACGGTATGTAGAAGAGGATAAAGGTGTAACTGACTGCCTCAATGAATATTTTTGTTCGGTATTTACAGATGAAAATGAAGGAGAGGGACTTCAGTTAAGAAAAAGGACAAATGGGTTATTTGTTACATGTGAATATACAGAGGAAGAGGTTCTATTTCAACTGTCAAAGGAAAGACAAATAAGTTGATGGGGCCTGATGCGATACACACAAAGTTATTAAAAGAGCTTAGTGGTGTACTAGCAAATCCATTAACGGATTTATTTAACCAATCATTGCTAACAGGAGTATTCCCAGGAGATTGGAAATTAGCAAATGTTGTACCCATTCACAAGAAAGGTAGTAGGGAGGAGTCGGGCAACTATAGGCCAGTAAGTCTTACTTCAGTAGTGGGGAAAGTGATGGAAACCATATTAAAGGATAGGATTGTTGAACATCTAAAACCACATGGATTTCAAGATCAGAGACAACATTTACTTCAGGGAGATCATGCCAAACTAATCTTATTGATTTTTTTGATTGGCTAACTAAAATAATAGATCAGGGTGGTGCAGTAGACATTGCTTACCTAGATTTCAGTAAGGCTTTTGACACTGTTCCACATAGAAGGCTCATCAATAAACTACAATCCTTAAGTTTGGATTCCAATATTGTTGAATGGGTTAGGCAGTGGATAAATGACAGGCAACAGAGGTTTGTAGTCAAAAGAGTAAATTCAAAGCAAGGTCTAGTTACCAATGGGGTACCTCAGGGATCTGTACTTGGACCCATTCTCTTTAATATTTTTATTAGTGATATTGCAGAAGGTCTTGATGGTAAGGTATGTCTTTTTGCTGATGATACTAAAATTTGTTCCAGGAGGGATAAGCCAAATGGCAAATGATTTAGATAAATTAGAAAAATGGTCAAAGCTGTGGCAACTGACATTTAATATGGCTAAGTGCAAGACAATGCACTTTGGGCGTAAAAACCCAAGGGCAGAGTATAGAATATTTGATACCCTACTAAACACAACATATGAGGAAAGGGATTTAGGGGTGATTATTTCTGATGACTTAAAGGTAGGAAGACAATGTAATAGAGCAGCAGGAAATGCTAGCAGAATGCTTGGTTATATAGGGAGAGGTATTAGCAGTGCTATTCATTTGCAAATTTTTCTCCGGACTTTTTGGGATATTGTGATAGGTTCTGACTTCTGACTGTATGGAAAGTAGTCTAATTCTCACATTTGTGTGAAACATCTAACTATTTGTATCTATTTGTATCCATTTCACACATGAAGCTAAGTTATTGCCTCATGGGTTACTATTAAATTGCTACAGTCATTTATATCATTGACTGACTTTTTTGTTTATGTTATTAACTGGCTTCGACAGAGTTTGTCTGTTTCCTTTTTGTTGTGGTTTGTCTCATTGGTTTTGGTATAACTTTTTGCACTGTCACTATACCTAATACATATTTGATAAGCAACATTTTTGAATGCAGATTCTATTTATTTATTTTTTTTAAATTAAAAAAATACTAGTGTTCAATTGTTACATATGTTTCTCTATTTATTTTAATCCATATATAACATGAATCCCTGATAGGATTCTACCACAAGATTTCCTTACTTACTGTGGCTATGTTATCAGATATTTACTTTGCAATGTGAAATAGCACTTTAAAGCAATCTATAACTTATGTCAACGCGTTATAAATCTGCTCCGCAGTTTTTATTAAAAACGGACTAAAATACAGTTTACTAATGTGGTCGTTGGCCAACAGGGAGTTTGGACAAAAGCTTTCTCCCTCCAGAATACTGGAAGCCAATCAGCTCAACTTTAATAAATAGAGTTTGTAAATGGCTTCTGATAACATGTGATTTTTGCAGCCTTTTCCCCTTTAAATCATAATTTGTTAGTGAGCGTTTGAAAGTTATGATGTTATTTCAAAATGGCCGGAAACAATGAAATATAATCACCCAGAGTGGTATTCAAAAATGTCCACTTCATTTAAAAATCAAGCATTCAAGGTAAAATAAAAAAGCCATGTAAGCACATTGATGGTAATAAATTTCATGATTGTTTTTTGTTGCAAGCTTTACATATTCACAGACATGCTAAGTCTTCCGGTAGGTCAGGGAGACCTACACATTTTTAGTGTGTCTCCCTGATACCCTCATGTCTCACACAACATACTGGAAATCACACACAATCTTACATACTATATATATCAGATTGTGTGTGAGTGATTTCCAGGGTTTTATGTATGCCAAATGCTCTAAAATTGAGGGCATTTAGCATATATTAATATTACCCACCTGATAAATATTATTTCTGAGCAGGGGCCTGGTCGGGTGCCTAGCCCTTGATGAGCCTGTCTGTGCCCCTGCAGTATCTGCCTCCTGGGAGATAGTGATAGACAGCACTTTACTTCCTCCCAGCTAAGAAGACAGCCGTTTCGGAGGGAGGGAGGAAGCTGGAGCACACAGGCAGCATGGAGGCAGAGAAGAGGCTAGAGTGAGCACTTACTCAGCCAGGACACAAGGTAAGTTAAGGGTGGCTGCAGATCAACTTTGTATACCATGTGTCTGTGTATGTAAGATAGTGTGAATCTGTGTGTTTGTATCTGTGATAGTGTGTCTCTATGTGTGTGTGTATCTGTGACAGCGTGAATGTGTGTGTGTGAGTGTGTATCTGTGTATCTGTGTGTGAATCTGTGTGTGTGTGTGTATCTGTATCAGTATATAACTGAATGTGTATGTGCCAGTGTGTGTGTGTGGGTGTGCGAGTGTGTGTATCTGTGTCAGTGTGAATCTGTATGTGTGTGTGTGTGTATCTGTGTCAGTATGTATCTGAATGTGTATGTGCCAGTGTTTGTGTATTTCAGTGTGTTTATATATGTGCAAGTGATTCAACAAAAAAAGAAAAATTGGAGTGTACTACTAGGGATATTGGGATAAGTTATTATGTATTTTGAAATACAAAGCTTAACTTTTATTTATACATAGTAAAATAGCATATTAGCTTAGTAATGATGCATGTACAAACAATTATAAATACTTTGTGAAAACAGGAGACAAAAGATAGGAAAAATAATACTGTGAAAAACAAGAGAAAAGTGCAATAAAAAATCTGTTAGAATAGAAGGGGGACTATCGCCTAAATAACACTAATAATCAAAACTCCCAAGTATAACTAGATGTGAGAAATAGCAATCCCAAGTTTCTAAATGATACTGTTAGCATGTGTGTATGTGTGTGTATCTCTGTGCATGTGCAAGTGTGTGTAGTGTCCACATCTTTACGTCAAGGTGTGTGCATGTGTCAGTTTCTCTGTATATAATTGTAATATGTAAATAGTTGTCGTCTGTCATAATAAAATATCATGTCCTTGTTCATACATATTTGGTGACTGTGTGTACGTGTGCATTTTGTCACAGGCATGTGTGTGTGGGTGTGCATCAGAGTGTGGGGGTGCAGCTGCTGGTAAAACCACCTCCCTGAAATGAACATGTTGGGATGTCTGTATTCAGAATAAAAGCTACAAACATTGCATTAACAACTTCTAGATGTAACAGAATTCAACAAAACATCTCAATGCACTGCTAAAGGCACATTAATAAGCTAGAAAATTTACATTGTTCATTTAAACTTTACAAATCTTTTACTATTATGATAGGGATAGAGAACAGAGGCACAATAGCTAACATTGTAAATTTACTTTAAATACATAAATGGAAGACCATATGTTGTCCATACGTAAGGTTGAGAATTTTACAACATGACAGGATGCTTCATATTTGCTTTACTTTATTTAATGCATCTCCGTAGCAGCAAACTTTATAAACACTAACCAATAAAAAAATGTCTCCCTACAGAAAGGAACTCCTCTTTCTTTGCAGCACCATACCAAGAAACAGGTTAGAGTATTAATGTCTCTCCACTCTGTCTTTATAGTGTCCTTCTATTTATTCAAAGTAATCAGATTTGATTAATTTCTGTTTATGATATGGTGTCCAAGGTACTATTCATGTTCATGATAGATTGTACCTAAACTGAAGAGGGTCTGCTGTGCTGGGGACAGGATAACTAGAACATTGGAGGTGATCACTCTAGGGTCAGGAACACAAACATGTATTCCTGACCCTATAGTGTTAACACCACCATCTAGCCCTCCTGGGCCCCTCATGCCTCCATAAATATAGCAAAAAATCTTACTGTATTCAAGCCTGAAGTTGTAACTCTGCATGCTGTTAGACCCAGAAAAACAAACAGTCTGCTGTGGTAAGTGGTAGCCTAAGCCAATCACAATGCTTCCCCATAGGATTGGCTGAGACTGACAAAGGGGGTGGAAGGGGTTAAATCTTACCTGTACCTCCCTTGGCGCGGGGAACTCTCCTCCTCCTTTTTGCCGTCATCGGTTGAATGTGCATGCGTGGCAAAGGAAAGCTGTAAGATCATCCAAAGGAAAATCACCAAAAAAGAATCGATGCGAAGCCTGTGATAAAAGACTGCTGGAAGGCAAACGGTTATGTGCAGAGTGTTTATCGGAAGCAGCCGGAACATCTAATCCTTCAACTGATATTATGCAGTTTATAAAACAATGTATTAAAGAAGCAGGCACAAGAAGCAAAAGACCCAGGTTCCATGACCCTTTGGATTATTCACAGGATGATTCATCAGACGAATCCATGGATATGGAGTCATACCAAGAAAAATTATTTTCTTCGGAGGAAGAACCTCAGGCTACCCCAGATTTCCTGGAACCAACTCAAGTAAATTATCTTATATCCAAAGTCCGAAAATCATTGAGTCTTAAAGAAACAGCTAGAGAAGAACCATCAACTTCCAATCGTTACTTCTCAGACTTAAGGAGAAAAAGAGCAACTTTTCTTGTACATACTATTAAAGAATTGATTAAGGACGAATGGTCCAATACAGATAAAAAAATTACCTCTACCCATTTGGGAAATCTGACTCATATCATAATGCCCCTAAGATGGATGCTGCAGTAGTTAGACTGGCAAAGCACACCACATTACCTGTCGACAATGCAGGCTCCTTCAGACACCCAATGGACAAGAAGATGGACTTACACCTTTCAAAAGCATATGTATCAGCAGGTACAGGCTTTCAGAGCAACTATGTCCAAGAAAAATTGACTTTTCTGGCAACCAATACACCCTTAAATCTCCTAGAGCTTCTTGCAGTTTTCAAAGCCCTGAAACACTTCCAACAACTTCTACTTCACAAATGGATCAAGATCAGGATAGACAATGCCACGGTAGTAGCATATATAAATCATCAAGGATGGACACGGAGTCGCAGAATGATGAGAATAATGAGAATAATGAGACCTTTTATGTCCTGGGAACAAGTAAATTTGGCAGGAATCTCAGCAATTCATCTCCAAGGTAAACAAAATTCAGTAGCCGACTTTTTTTCAGCAGAGTAAGGATAGACCCAGGATAATGGTGTCTATCAAACAAGAAATTCCTACTGATTACAGAAAAATGGGGTCTTCCGCAAATAGATCTGATGGCAACAAGCAACAAGGGGAAGGTAAAGAATTTCTTCTCGAAAATTCTGGATCCTCAAGCCATAGGAAGAGATGCATTATCATGCGATTGGGAATTCAACCTAGCCTATGCATTCCCTCCGACCCCACTCATCTTTCCACTACTGAGGAGATTACGTCAAGAGAAAGTTTAATTAATTCTGATAGCCCCTTTTTGGCCTCACAGAGCTTGGTTCCCACTCCTGCTCAGTCTCTGCAAGAAAGGCCCATGGTGTCTACCAGAAGTTCCAGTCCTGCTGCAACAGGGTCCAATCCTTCACCCAAATCTAGCATTCCTTCATCTCATGGCATGGTACTTGAAAGGGAGGGGTTAAGAAGTAAGGGGTTCTCACAAGCAGTAATTGATACCCTCTTACAGACAAGAAAGAAGTCTACTTTGACCACTTATTACAGAGTCTGGGATGTATTTCCTTCTTGGTCCAGATCAAGACCTATGAATATTCAGAAACCATCAACCAAAGATATTCCGGAGTTTCTGCAATCCAGCTTGGATAAAAGGTTGAGTTATAATACTTTGAAAGTCCATATTTCAGCCCTCTCTGCATTAACTAATCATAAATGGGCCTTTGACTCGGACATAGTCAGATTCATGACTGCAGTCTTAACAATCAAGTCTCCTATTAAACCTATTGCTCCACCATGGGATTTACCATTGGTTCTGAAAGCACTTAAAACAGATCTTTTTAAACCATTGGAATCTATTTCTAATCAACTACTCACTATCAAAACTGTTCTACTAATAGCCTTAGCTTCTGCCAGAAGGGTGTCAGATCTTCAGGCTCTATCCGCTGAGGAACCTTTCACTATTTTTCATAAAGACAGAGTCATTCTAAGAACAGTTCCTGAATTCTGTCCTAAGATGACTTCGGGGTTCCATATAAATGAGGAAATAGTGCTACCAACATTACTTTTGAAAGAACCAAACAACGGAGAAGAAGCTGTTTGGAACACTATTGACTTAGTGAGATCCCTCAAGATTTATGTACACAGATCTTCAGAATGGCGAATTTCTAAAAGGCTTTTTATCATTCCTAATGGTTTTAGGAAAGGTCTTCAAGCTTCTAAAGCCACTATCATCAGATGGATAGTTTCAGCTATTATCCAAGCCTATAAAGCATCTAAGGCAAGAATCCCTGAAGGTTTGAAACCACATTCTACACGATCTCTCTCTTCATCCTGGGCAGCAGCAGCAGCAAAAGTTTCTCCAGAACAAATTTGCAAAGCAGCTACTTGGTCGTCTTCAAATAATACTTTTATAATATGATATAATTGTTGGATAAGTTTTCCTGTTTTGAAACACTAATATTTGTGTTCAGCGAAGTCTCCTGAGTATAACAGTACTCCTCATGTACAGGTTTTATGGTGTTTTCAAAAGTTACAGAGTCAAATATAAGGCTTGCGTTTCAGTTTTTTCACATTGAAATTCTCCAGATTGGTTACGTTGCCATTGAGACCGTGTTTGTGACCAAGTGGCTACTAAAAAAGACTGGACATACCCCATTTGCAATACCTTGGATTGTCTACTTTTGCAAAAGGTATGCCATCCTGGAGGTAATTCTCATTCCTGGGATACCATACGGTCTCAAAGGCAACATAACCAATCTGATGAATTTCAATGTGAAAAAACTGAAAAATGTAACATGCTATATTTGACCCTGTTACTTCCCAAAACACCATAAAACCTGTACATAGGGGGTACTGTTTTACACGTGAGACATCACTAAATACAAATATGTGTATTTTATTGCAGTAAAAGCAAACAGTATTATGACATTTACAGTTAAAATGTCACGTAGAACTAACATTTTTAAAAAAAATCTTATTTTCTCCAATTTTTTTTATATTTTATTCTTATTAAATTATGTTTCATACCTAAATATTTGATGTTAAATTAAAGCCCTGTTTCCCCTGAATAAAATGATATATAGTAAGTGTGGGTGCACATAATATGAAAGAGGCGAATTACACCTGAACAGACATATAGCGCAAATTCAAGTTTTTGTTTATGTTTTGTTTTGATCACAATGTGTACATTTGGCTCAGTCCTTAAGGGGTTAACCCTGCCTGCGTTTACACAGCTGCATACACTCACTATACTTACAGGTTCACGCACAATACAGTACAAGCACAGCATAAATATGTACACACATTTTTTATAAATATATATATATATATATATATATAAAAT